ACCCCCCCAATACTTGCTAAAGCAAGAAGACTCCAGCTAGCTGACGCTAGCTTTCGTGACTTCCCAAAATTGCTTTCTAAAGTTCTTGCTTTCTAAAATTCCTCCCCAAAGCTGTCGTTCTTCAAAGCAACTGTTCTTCAATGCTGCTGCAAAGCCGCAAAATTGCTCCCCGTAATTGCTCCCCAAAGCTTCTTTTCAAAATTATTACCGAAAAGCCGCGTCCCAAAGAAACTCCCAAAAAGCGCAAACTCCAAGGCTACTTCCCGAAGGAAGCTATCTCCAAGCTAGTCCGGAAACCTGTCCAAAGCTGCTCCCCAAAGCTATTCCCCAAAGGTAATCTCCAAAGCTGTTGCCCCAAAGCTGCGATTCTTCAAACCTCCCAAAACTGCGCCCCAAAGTTGCTACCGAAAGCTGCTCTCCGAAGTTGTCTGTAAAATTGCCCCTGAAAGCTGCTCCTGAAAGCTGCTGTTCTTCAAAACAATTGTTTTGTAAAGTGGTCAAAGCTGCTCCGCAAAGCTGCTCCCCAAAGCGGTTCCCCGAAGCTGCTGCCCAAAGCTGTACCCCACAGCACCTTTGCAAAACGGTTGCCTCAAAGCGGCTATGCTTCAAAGCTGTTCCCCAAAGCGGCTCCCCAAAGCTATTCTCTAAAGCGGCTCCCAAAAGCTGCTCCCAAAGTTGCTGCCGAAAGCTGCTCCCCAAAGCTGTGTTTTTAAAGCTAGTCCCCAAAGCTGCTCCACAAAGCTGCGGTTCGTCAAGGCTGCTGTTCTCAAAGCTGCCGTGCAAAGCTGGCTGCTCCCCAAAGCTGTTCTCCAAAGCCGATCCCCAAAGTTGTTATCGAAAGCTGCTGGGAACACCTGCTCCCCAAAGCTGCTCTGCTAAAGCTCTCCCAAAGTTGCTTTCTAAAGCTACTCCCCAAAGCTGTCGTTCTTCAAAGCAACTGTTCGTCAATGCGGCTGCAAAGCCGCAAAGTTGCTCCCCGCAATTGTTCCCCAAAGCTGCTCTCCAAAATTGCTACCGAAAGCCACGTCCCAAAGAAGCTCCCCAAAACAACGCGCACAGGCTAAGAAAGCGAGCACAGTGTGTTCGGTAGAAGGCGGGTGCAACAAGCGGGCAGTCTCGCAGAGGTGCATGTTAGAAAGAGCACAGTGCAGAAGCTAGGCAAGCAAGGGCAATAGCTCGCAGGGGGTCCGGACGGACCTAGGGGGAATCGAGCCAGGGGAAAATAGAGGGACCGTCATGGGATTGCGACACGGGACCAGGACTAGAACCGCAAAATAAAAAGCCCAAAAAAACGTTCCTATTTTGGATTTTCACGTTTTTCCACATTCCAAACATTCGGATTTTTTCCGTGCCATTGAGGAGGTCCTAAAAAGGTCGAGCAAAAGAGTATTCGCTACGTCTTCCTGCAGGCTAAAGATGTACTCGGCCAAAAGCCAAGAATAATTAACTTTTGTTGGGATTTTCGGACCAGCCGATTTGCGCGCGCGCGGTGCCATCCTTGCCGTAATATTAGTAGTTTAGTAATATTCTAATTTTTTTTGAAATAATACATTTATTTCCTAAATGTATCTATATTTATATATGTATATTGTATATATATATATATGTGTTTTATTTTTAAATTTTGGTTTTCACATCAAAATAATTATTTTATTCCGCCGGCCTGCCGGCGTGTCTGATTGGAAGGTGTTATATATTATTGTTTCTGTTCTTGGCTTGTACTTGTTCCTTTGTTCTCTTGCTGCGCATTTTTGCTTCGTCTGCATCAACCCCCCCCTCCCCCCTCCCCCACTACTCCTACTCCTACTCCCACTACTCCTCCCACTACTACTCCCACTACTACTCCCACTACTACTCCTACTACTACTCCTACTACTACTGCTACTGCTACTGCTACTGCTACTGCTACTGCTACTACTACTACTACTACTACTACTACTACCGCGACTACTCCCACTACTGCTGCTGCTGCTACTACTACTACTGCTGCTGCTGCTGCT